TCAGCTTCTGAAAAAAAATAAAATAAAAACAACCCTTACCTCAGATCTGGTGCAGGCAGCTGGAGGAGGCCTTCTCTGAAGTAGGCTTGGTTTCATCTAATGCAGAGTGCCCATGAACAGCAGGTACCTAAAACAGAGAGCAGCAGAGCCTTTAGCAGAAAAATAAAATTCTATGAGCTCTAGAAGATCAACAGATGCAATGTATTCCACTTCCATGAGCACATAAAAGCAGTGGTGCTCTGACAACACCACGTGCAGGCACCCTTACGCTGTGGCACCAGCGCAGGCACCAAAAGGAGGGCACCACTTTCAGAGAAGGTGCATCACTCTTCTCCAGTTGGCTGAGTTAGACAGCAATCTTGGCAGGTGATTTCAAAGGCAACAGGATGTGACTTTCCACCAGAGAGCACAGGTTTTCAATGGTATGTCCCACAGGGCTACGCAGCATAAGAGGTACCTGAAATCAGGTGCTGGATGCCTCAAATTCAGGCAGCTCAAGGAAGGGCCAGCACGAGGCTGTTGTGAAACCAGGGCCCTGGTGCCTGAGGAGAAAACTGGGCTAGCTGCAGTATGGCCACAGGATTTGAAAGCCCTGATACACAGGCTTGGCAATTCAGAACAATTCAAGTAAGGATGATGAATCATTAGAATATGGCTCATCCCTTAAGCAGCTATTAACTGCCACAGTAACTAAGCAGGACAGGAGCAAAACTGCCATCTCTCAAAATCTTAGAGACCAGGACCTTCCTGAAAGGCACCTTTTACACAGAGAGAAATTATTACGTTTAACACATAGTGTTTAGGAATGGGGTGAAACGATAAGGCCCCAGTAAAATGGGAGGTCAGGTAGAAGATTTAGCGGTCTCGTCTGCCCTTACGATACGTTGACCGGCCTGCTCGTGGGCTGGGGTTTATGGGGTCACCCCAAGGCTCTCTGGGGCCCCTCGCAGGCTGCAGCAGCTGCCCCCAGCCAGGAGCCAAGAGGCAGGGGGTGCAGGAGGCCTGTACACAGGGAGGACGGGCTGCAGCCCAGGGCTCCCCTCGCTGTGCAGGACACAGGCCTTGGACACGGCCCGCGGCAACGGCGGCGTTTGCCATGGTGTGCAAAGAGCCTCGTGGAGCTGCCGCTCCAGCCATGCTGCCACCCTGCACGAGGCCGCTCCCTGCCGAACGGTGGGCAGGGATCAGAGGAGAGGTGGGTACGGTGCAAATGCACTCGCTGGTGCTCAAAAACGTGACTTTCCTCAAGGAGCACATTTGTGTAATTAGGTCTTCCTTCTCCCCCACAATTTAACCTGGGATAAAAGAATCATCGCGGGCTGAGTGCGGAAGACATTACTGCAGGAATT